GTGTTTTCAGTGTAATGCACATATGCATCAATTAATGATGATATTGAAGAATAAGTCGTTCTTAAGATTATTAGACCATAATTAAGTGTGCACATCACTATTCCTAGGCAATATAGTTTATATATGAAAAAAAATTTAGACAATCTATGTACTGGTTAAAAAGATTTTGACTTAAATGTACTATTTTTACAAATTATATTTAATGTGAACCCACCATATAATTTTAACTATGGTCATTATAATTTTAATACGTTTGATTGATTGACTATATACGTATATAGACCATATATTACTTTATTTTCTCACATGAGCTAACATTTGGTGCTTAATAATTTAAATTATTATATATTACTTTATTTTCTCACATGAGCTAACATTTGGTGCTTAATAATTTAAATTATTACTTTTAAATTCAATATAAAGAGGAATTCTCACATGAGCTAACATTTGGTGCTTAATAATTTAAATTATTACTTTTAAATTCAATATAAAGAGGAACTCTAATAACATTTATTTATTTATCTACAACATAGTACAATCTCAATTCCTATTTTTTGCTGGAGATTTATTCCATAGTTACGCGTATCAAATAGGTAACTAAAATAATAATTATTTATGCTTAAATTAGGATGATTGTAGTTGGTCACTCACTATAAATTTTTTATGAAGATATATACTTTACTTTCTATAGCTATCTGCACTGTCCATATGTATATTTTATAAATTACTTCTTAATTTAACATATTAAATTATTTTTTATTTATAGAAATTTCTTCTTTGACTTTTCGACTGTGTAATCACTATATCACCATTGTAGCATAGAAAGGACCTCACTCTAAATGGATTCAAGCTAATGTTTGCTTTGTACTGAAGTATATACTGCTGTTACTATGTGTATATATTTTTAAGAAAATCATGCCAACACTTTTTAAATAGAAGAAAATATTCTAACATCTGATATTATAAAAATTAAATATAACTAATTGAATAATTAGCAAAAGAGAACTTACATCAAAAAACTGTGAATAATAAGATAAATAGAAAAGGTAATGACATTGCCAACAATACTATAAATAGCAAACTATAAGGTAAAATTAACTAATTTTGTGGAGCCCAACTACTGGCTATAAGCATCAAGGTTTTTATATATATACTTTATAATTTATTAAAAATGGTCATATAATCTTATATAATAAAATTGATTTAATATTGAATAGTAATATCATTATTAAAAAAAACTCATGAATCTATATGCTCTTTACGATATATAAGCTATGCACTCTAAATTCTTGTGTCTTTTATAGAGCCAAAAAGTTTGAATACGAGCCTCTAACATGTTGCTCTCACAACAACAAAATATACTTAGGAGATATGGATATTCTAGATGAGTTATGTATCCTATATACAATACAATTGTCCTAGGCAAGTGAGTTATAATAGTATTTTTTATTCACATTGTTTGGGGTAAGATTTGATAGGGACCTTGCATCAAAGAAAAAAAATTTATATTTAGAGCACATGATGAAATATATCATAATCTCTTTGTTCTAATTTTGTAAGAAAATAATTCTTCGTACTTTCAGTTTTACTTCTATGATACAGAAAATGAGCTATAAAATTGAATGAGAATATTAGATAATATAAATATGAGCGAAACATCAACTAAAAGTTAATATTAGATAATATAAATATGAGCGAAACATCAACTAAAAGTTAACATGAATATGAGTCAAACCACAACTAAAAGTTTAATGAACTAAAAGTTAACATGAATATGAGTCAAACCACAACTAAAAGTTTAATGGACATATTGCAAGTAAGTTTATATGCAAAATTCTTTTGCGAATTGAATGATCACTCATCTTTTGAAGACTTCAAGATACTAATAAATAGAGATGTTGTACTAAATTAATGTATTTATAACTCACAAATAGTAGATCACGTAGCCACAGTCTAGGTTGAAAGAAACAATGATAATATTTTATTTAGAGAGATTATTGTGTTGATAATCAATCCCAAAAAAAACTTTATTTTTTAATTTTTACTCTATTTTAATCAATTTAAATAATCATGATATTCAACCGTATGCATTGCACGTGCATCTCAACTAGTATTTTAAAAATCCTAACCCATAACAAAACACCTATGGATTCAAATCCCATGGTGAAATCCATATCCTAAAATTATAGGATTTGAAACAAACACCCCTAAGACAAAAGGATGTGAAACTTCAATCAATATTGAAGATTTTGTTTGTGCCCACGGTCTTTTTAGTGAAAATAAGCAATTATTGTGAGTTAATTCTTTCATTAATGAACCAAAGGATTGTTGAAGATTTTTGGAACTAATATTCAGACCATGCATAGCACTTTCTGAAACTAGTCTTGTAATATGAGTGGCTGTTGTCTGAGGGCGCATGATAAGGGCGACCTTTTATCGTGTGCCGCAACCGTGAATGAGGACAAAGAAGAGGGTTTCAGGGAGGAAAGTGGTTGGATCTATTTATTACAAAGGCAGAACTTCAAGCACCGACTCGCCCACTGAGCAATTGGAGACCTC